ATACTTAGTTATCAATGAAACTCAGTAAAGAAAATTAACATTTTTTTTTTTTTTGCCATATTTACAATTACAGTTTTATTAAGGCTATTCTCAGTAGGAGGCAGATATGGAAGAAGAGCTCTCACATCCCTCAACATCCATAGTAATAATAAGGGGGTTCATGGCTCTTAGATAAGAGGTAGGCTGGAAAATTAGGGGTTTCCGGGTCTGCCTGCAAAGACACCGAGGTCGTCCTATCCTAGAAGGGGTCTGCTATAATCCGCCAACAATTAGATGAGTCATGGGGGTCCTGGTCCAGAATACGGAGTTGGGGGTCCTGGCTTCTCCCACTTGCATGTCCTCTCCTCATGCTCCTCCTAGCTCCCTTGTTTGGTCCCTGTATCCTGACCTGTCTTGTTAAGTTTGTCTCCTCATGCCTAGAATCCATAGAATTACAAATAGTTGTGACATCTGGACCACCATTATACCAGCCCCTAGGCCAGGAAGATCAGGAGTTTGATGCCCTATAAGAATTTAAAAAGACATCAAAAGGGAGGATTAAACAGGAATTTTCACTCAAAAGGCTAATTAGCTCTTTGTTCTGCCTTTGTAGACATGCTTGCTGCACAGGCCATACTGGAAAATTAAAGACTCATCTTCCCTTTTGCTGCTTCTGTCTAAGCAACAAATGTAACTGCCTGTACCGCGCAGCAACTCCCACACTTTGCAACTCTTTGTAACTGCCGGCAGCCAATAGCAACTCATGGGTTTGTAACCATCTGAGGACAAATGAACCAATCGGCCCATGCCGAATAAGACCTATATAAGCAATGTTGCAACTGAGCTCTGGGCTCATATCTTCAGAGCAATAGCTCCTCTGGGACCTAATAAACTGGAGTTCTCCGACTGTTCTCCAACTGTTCCAGTGCTGCTTGGTTTCTGATTTTTGCAACTTTTCTTCAACAGTTACCTGTGACCAGCAAGCTGAGGAAAGGTGAGGCATTATCCCCAGGCTTTGGACGGGGGCGGGGCGTGGAAGCAAGCAGTTTCTGGAAATTTCTGGAATCCAGGAACCATAATGGCGTGAATCCAGGAGGGATTAAAGCGGCCCTTCCCCCTCCCTCTTTGACTTCTGGTGTCTCCCAGGAGCCCTGTTAGCTGAGGATAGGACTGGAGGCGCGGCCATAGACGCCGACGCGCCCCCACCCCCACGTCGGTCCCCGCGGACCACGTTGAGTAGAGAAGGGTGGAAAGAGCCGGCCTGGAGGGGCAATGGGAGAATACGGAGACCCCCGGCGGGGTGAACAGCCGCACCCCGCCCACTCGCACCGGGCCCCACAGGCCCTTAGGCAGAGCTCACGCGAGAGGTGGCCGGGCCGGTTGCCATGGAGACCCCGGGGCCCGGCGCGGCGGCGCGGGGCCC